CATGGAGAAGCAGCTTTTAGTTCTTATGCTCCACTAATCTGGAATAAACTCCCAGAAAACTGTAAAAGCGCCGAAACCCTAAGTTGCTTTAAATCAAGATTAAAAACTTATTTGTTTAAAGTGGCCTTTGAATATGTTATTCTAAACATTATTAGTTAAGTTTTCAGTCCAATTTTCCTTATCAATCATTCTATTCTCTTTTTTTTTAATTACCTCTGTTGTTTGATTTTCTGTATCATTGTAATGTTTTTCCTTATGTACAGCACCTTGAGGGCCTTGTTGCTGAAAAGCGCTATATAAATAAACTTGACTTGAGAAGGGAAGAGACTGGAGATCGTCCCTCAAATAAGCTTTATTGATTATCATGCGAATGGGAGAGCAGTCAGACATGTGTTCCAGCACCCTGCTCTAACGAGACAAACAAAGAACATCCCTTTATAACAGGTTCAAGACACAGTAATTCTTGGAACTGAAGATCTGGTATAGTGGCATGCATATATGGGACTCTTTGTCCCTGGAACCGTCCCTGGGACAAACGGAGCATTCTGTAGATCTATTGCTCTGGGCCCTGATTATACATGAGGCCATAGATTAAGTGACAGGGAGAGGTGATGATTACTATATTCCGTCATGCAGAGTATAAGGTTATGACGAGGGCTCTTATCAAAAGGCACCAAAGTTTTCATTAACAAACCAAAGCAGGTAAGACTGGCTATTAGGGGCTTGGAGGTTAAATATCCATACATTTTCAAGAACATATTGAAATAATTTACAATAATGTTTTGTTGTTCTTGATAGTTAAAATGTATACTATACATGCACTTGTTTTGTTTGTAAAGAAAGAGTTGCTTGGACCGTTTAAAAAAAAAGCAGATGCATTTTATTATTATAACTATGAACATATCAGTGGCATAATATGAGTGATTGTTTAACCAAAACTAGGTTTTAGTTGAGAGGGCTTGTATCTATGACCTTGCACATGGTCATAGGGTCATGAGCGCCAACATGTCGATGAAGTGGTCATTCAGAAGCTTCATTCATTGGCTAGCCCCTGTCTTGACCATGATAGAAAGATGCTTGTAAACCTACAACACCCTCTCCTTAAGTCATTATTGATAAAAATCTTTCCCACAATGTTGTTTCTTCTATGCTGAGACTGTGACAATAACAGTAACTCCTTTAAACCAGCTTCTACCAGCGTTCTTAGAAAATACACACCAAAACCTCTGCTACAGCGACATCAACCCCACTAGCTGGGTTGAAACCTGTAATCTGTTTCCAATTAAAATGATGAGTATAAAGTGTGGATCCATATCTATTTGGAAAGGTCATTTGCAATAAGTCGTTACAGATCTCTCAGTTCTGTTTATTAAGAAATGGATTAAAAATTAGATCAGTAAAGATAGAGGTCAAAATTTCTGGCAACACAAACTTTTGTTTTCACTCAAGAAATGTTTTTAAAAAATGTAACTTACATTTGTATATATAATATAAATAGAGCTTAGATGTAAAACATTACCTTGCACAATGCTTATTCATTGTTATGGTTATTGGAAATGCTTAAAAGGTACGGTAGCGCATAAACGTGCCTGTTATCGCATTAGCCCTGGTATTCAGTCAGTCAGTCAGTCATTTTCTACCGCTTATTCCATAGTGGGTCGTGGGGAAGCTGGTGCCTATCTCCAGCAGTCTACGGGTGAGAGGCAGGGTACACCCTGGACAGGTTGCCAGTCCATTGCAGGGCAACACATAAACAACCATGCACACACACACTCATACACCTAAGGGCAATTTAGAGTGACCAATTAAACTAACAGGCATGTCTTTGGACTGTGGGAGGAAGCTGGAGTACCCGGCGAGAACCCACGCATCCACAGGGAGAACATGCAAACTCCATGCAGAAAGACCCCCGGCCGGGAATCGAACCCAGGACGTTCTTGCTGCAAGGCAACAGTGCTACCAACTGCGTCACCGTGCAGCCCCCCTGGTATTCATAGACCTAGATTTTAGGTTTTGGGAAACAACATTCTAATGAAAGGTAGAAACAGGTATTTTAAATATTTGTTCTAAAATGATTTATTATTAAACAAACACCTTGTCCAGGTTTTCCCATTGTCTCCTTTAATAATGCTTTTGACATTCACATTTTTTCATACAGCTTATTGTTCTGTGCAGGATGGGTTCACATCAACGAGACCTGCTCCAGGAACTCGATTCTGGCATGATACAAAGCATTCCAAAGGTTTGGTGTGAAAGCGCTGAGACGCAGCTTTTCCACATTGACTCCTCCTGGACAGGCGTGGTAAGGCGTATTCGTCACTTCCCGTTTTTGCTGTTGCACTCGGTGGATTGTTTGGTGTATGAAGGCTCTCTCGTTTGATCTGATTTCTCTCTACTGTGATATCTCTTACTTGTTCTAATACATAAGCACGTTAAAACACATACTTTCTGTTGCTGCATTTCACGTTTGGGGACTC